AATATATTTTTTAATGCCACTGATTTTGTCATCCACAAATTGCAACCCAATTTAATTATGGGCAGATCTATCAAGTAATGAGTGATGCTCTTTGTCAATATTGATATTGTTTATTGTAATATAAAAAAATAAAATATATTTTAATTTAAAGAAAATTATATTTATTAAAATAAAATTAATGTTTATTTTGATTATTATCTAAGAAAAATAGATAGTTAAATAGAAAATTTTATCTAAAGGGTTGTTTGTTTACCTCTTAATAGTTTCATTAAGAGGCAGTATCTGAATCGTTAAGAGATGAACCTTGTTTGGCAAACAAAAAAAGTCTGTCTCTTAATGATTTTAAAACTCTCTGGATGATTTTGTATCACGAGCCTCCCTTAACTATTCAGCGCTCTAATTTCATTGTAAACAATTATCAAACAATTATGTTTTATTTTGCACTATATCACGAGAGCCTCTTAATCATGCTGACCGTTTAATCATTCTGTATCAAACCATTCAGCAACTACCAAACAGCCCCTAAATGATTTACCAAATGATGACGTGACTTAGGTAATTTTATCGTGATATGTAACTTTTTTAAATGACAGACGATACTAAAATATTATTCGATATTTAAAAAGTAACAAATAAAAAATGAAAGCTAATCCTCGTCGTTTGGAGATGGAAATCTCAATAACGACCCCACCAATTCCCCTAATCCTCCCTCTATATCTAATCCAAAGATCGTATTATCGGTTCTCAGGAACACGATAGAATCACCAACAATAGCTTCTTAGGGTTCATAAAATTGGTCTACGGAGGTTCAAATGCGGTGTCTCTAGCCTACCTGCGAAGCGGGTGGTCGCCATGGGATTAGTCGGCTCGCATAACGGGTTGGATATCCAGGTTAATTAAAAATATATGTAATAAGGTCCATCGAGAACGTAGCAAGACTCATGGATTATATCAAGCCTCACTACAAGAAAACTAGTTTTATTGGACGTAATCTAAGCGTCATACTCGAATACTTTATAAAACTTATGTTTATAAGACCAAACTATAAAACTTCTCATTTGAAAGTTTTACAATAAGTTTATAAGATGTTTTTAGACGTTTTAACAACTTTTTATAATGATTTTATAATAAAATGTCATAGTGACTACTTTATGGACACTTTTGAAACATGTCATATAAACTCGTCTTTTTATAAGACATTTTTTTTCTCCAAATAATATCGTATAAAATAGCTAATAGAACACTTTATTTTAAAAGTGTCATATAAAACTTATTGAAACGCCTAAAAACGTTTTATAAATCTATTGTAACATTTAGATATGACATTTTTTGGTTTGATCCTATAAACTTAAGTCTTATAAAATGTTATGATACTTAAACATTTTTTTGGGATTAACCTGGATATCCAACCCGTTATGCGAGCCGACTAATCCCAGGGTGACCACCTGCTTTGCAAATAGCCCGGAGTCACCGCGTTTGAACCTCCATGGCCACAAGGGGATTTTTATTCATTATTTGATTTGAACCTGGGACCTCCCAGTACTTTTAACCTTTGGAGCCAAGCTCAAACCAATCAAACACACCCTTGTGGTTGATACTTAAACATTTTAAGCATCATATAAAACCAATTTCATTATGGTGCAGATTAAACACATATCCCTGTTTATAACCATCGAATGTACATAAAGACTTGCCAACTTCAATATTATCCATATTTTTTTAAGTATATAATATTTATACACGGCAAATGCAACAAATAAACGTACACACCCTTCTCACATTTGGTGAGGTTTGAACCCCTGACCTCCTAGGAGGCCAAGGACTACGATACCGCTATGTCAAATACCCTTTGGTATATTATCCATATATTATCGAACTCATATTGAGCCTATCGAGATAAAATTTAAACATTGTCTTGATAGACATTTCAAGATCATACAACGTGACCCAATAAACAGTATCACGACATTCTACTTATGGGTGGCAAAAAATGACCCAACCCATTAACCCAACCCGAACCCAACCCAGAATTAGCAGGTTGGGTTGGGATTTTCAACCCATTTAAATAAATGGGTCAACCCGTCTAACTCATTTAAATAAATGGGTTGGGTTGGGTTGAATTTTTTGACCTGTTTTCAACCCAATTAAAATATTATATAAATTTATTTTATTTTTAATATTATATCTATTTTATTTTTTATTTTGTTTCTTCTTAAATAAATTGGCCCAAGTTTCATGATGACTCTTTGATTTCAATCCCTCAATAATCAATTCTTCATACGCTTCATTATTAATCAGTATCATGAGTCTTGACGCTTTGCCTTAAATTCTTAAATCTTCATACGCTTCAATTATCAATCTTTTCCCCTTCTTTTGAGTTCTACCTTCTCCAATCAAGGATTTGGGTTGGTTTCAGATTTTCAGTTTCCGATTTGAGGTTAAGGGCTTGAGGCACTGTTGAGCGATAGCGGAGTAAGTTCTTTATAATCATGATTGTTTAGTATTTTGTTGTTAAACTTCATATAGATCATATGAATTACATGCTTCTCTTTGATTATTTGTTACTTTATGACTCTATCGAACTTTAGTGATTTATTTCAAGTTTGAATTTGTTATTTGTGTGGTGTGACTATCTGTTTCTATCACTGTACCTATACCTCAGAGAGAATTGTTATCATTCGTCTTCATTGAGATAATTATACAAGCTACATATAAGTTGTTGTTTTATACACATGGATTACACTTGCTGATGGACAAATGATCTTAGGATTTTAGATACGAGAGTGAAATTGAGGTTGATGAAAGTGGAAGTCGAGTTACTTATAATTTAAAAAACTTTAACTTTTTTTGAACAATATATTTGTTGTACTTGTGTTTTATTCAAACTTTGAATAATTTGGTTGTATTTGTGGTCGTGTCATGTTTTATTCAAAAAAGTTAAATACTCTAGTTCTTTTTTTATTTAAAATTTTAAAATTAAATGGGTCAACCCAGGTTCAACCCATTTATTTAACATGTTAGGTTAAGAAAATCGTAAACAGGTCAACCCGCTGTCAACCCATTAACCTAACATGTTCGGTTGGGTTGAAAAATCTCAACCCATTTAATTAAATAGGTTGGGTTGGGTTAGGATTTTCAACCTATTTAATAAATGGGTTGAACCCGAACCCAACCCGACCTGACCTATTGCCACCCCTATTTCTACTTATGCATATAAACCTACGTAGATCATGGCAAATCCAGAAACTATACGAAAACCCCCAAAAAACAAACATATACAACAGATAAAATATATACATTATGGCAATACTCTAAAAAAAATCCAAATATCTACTTATGCATATGGACATCGAACTCGAGCTTGGGTTGTTACTCGTGCTTGTCTATTGAACGGAAATACATGTTTGTAATTTTCTTAGAATTGTTTTAACAAACGGAAAAAAGACGTTTGGCGAGGTTTTGAAAGTGACAATTGAACGGAAATGCTCGAAATGACCCATATAAATAACATACGAACCACCTTATAATCAATTCAGATCGACTACGATGACTGTTGTTCAAATGGACCCCATTAAATATTGTTTATTGATGTACATTACTAAAATTCAAGATTATAAGTAAATTTTGAGTAAGTACAACTTATTAAAACTTCACGTATGAATTTGTGTAATTAATCGTAGATAAACATAATCATATACATAATAAATATCTCATTTAAAATATATAAAATTTATAAATATAATTAAGATAACCATTAAGTTATAAAAAAATACTTAATCATTATTTTTATAGAAAAAAACATATTATTAAACCGAAAATAAGTTATTTTGTTATTAAATCAAAACCAAATTATAATAAAAAAAACTGAATTAAACAAATTACATAAAAAAGAAATTTTTTAATTTGACACTAATATCGATACTTTCCTTCAATTTTTTATGATATTTTTAAATTTATATTTTATTCAAACATAAAAATATTATCGTTTTCTTAAAACCCTATAAAACACATCGACAAACTTAAAAAATAAAACAAAATATTAAAATCAAAAAGTATCTTATTACATTATACGAGTACTTTTTTTAGTTTTCAAATAATTAGGCATGGCAATGATGCGGGGATGGGGCGGATTTTGTTCCCCAGCCCGGTTTGCAGTAACATCCCCCGGAATCCTGTCCCAGGTCAAAGCTCTAGCAATCCCTGGTAAAACCCAAGAAATAGTATCATTTAGTTTGATTCTACCGGAGGATCCTCGTCTCCGACCCCGGTTTAAGTAACATCTCCCGTCACCGGTTTGAGTCTACCGGGGGTCCCAATCCCTGGCCCCGACCCCAATACCCGTTTTAGTGGAAATTCCCTGTCCCCGTTCGGGTCGGGTGAACCGGGTTCCCCATCGGGTCGGGGCAAATCTGAAAACGTCCACATAATTTTGATATTTGGGGGAGAGTAAAGCATAGAAAGTCAAAACATTCCACATGTCCAACTCAGCAGAAGACCGGACCCAACAAAGACCGTCAATAAATCCAGCTCCGCATTTTTTAGACTCTTCCGTTCTGTGTACCCGCCCGCATCCTATCTTTTCTTCCCTCTTTCTAATCTCTATTTTCTCGGTCGACATTACAAAGGCACGCTAAATTCTCTCTCTCTCTAGCTGTACAACTAAAAGATCTGTAAAATCTCTCCCAAAATCTCTTTCGAAATCCTACGTTCCGGTCAGTTCTTGTAGATTCTTGTTAGTTATGCGTTACGATTATGTGTGTTTATTGATCATTTTCATCTTTTAATCACTATATATGAATCTGACATGTTTAGATCTGTTGTTCATGAAGAAAATCTGATGTTTAAGTCAACTTTTATGTTCTGTGATTGTTGAATTTGCTTCTTCTTTTTGGTGATCGATGATTTTATATTGATTATTGCATTGGATCGTGTCAATGTTGATTGTTGTGCTTATTTTTTTTTTGATGCAGTTAGGGTTTTGATTGGATAGAAATGGCGAGTCGGTTGAAGGAGGATGAGAGAAATGAGAGAGCTATACGGAATCTTCTGAAACTTCCTGAGAATCGGAGGTGTATTAACTGCAATAGTTTGGTACTGTGTCCGTTTGTTTCTGCCTTTTTGTCGGATTTTGTACTCCATTGATGTATCAGTGATCTAATTTTGATGTTAAGTTACTTGCGATTCTATTCTATTGAAGGCTGCAGTTTCTTTAAATAGATTATTTTACTCCCCTTGTCCCTTGAGTCATGACACAATTAAACTCCGACTCAAAGTCTGAAATGATTAAGAATGTATATTTTGCAAGTAAAATTGAGAACAATTTATTGGTGAGTGATATTTTTATATTTACTCCCAATGCACCATTAGCACTCATTTCAAGAAAAGATTTATTTTGCAAAGTGGATTCTAATTGTGGGAGTTACTGTCAATAACTGGATCATCTTCTTATTATATGTATTTTTTTTCATATGTGCTACTAATTAATTGGGTCTCCCTGTATTGATGTCCCTAGAAATTCTTTAGAACTCATGTTAGCTAGTGATGGTTAGTCATCTTCAAAAAAGAGTTAGACAATGCTGCCCATTTTCTTAGGTTTTCACCATATTGAAGTAAAAAATTACGAGCACAAGTAAAAATCTGGTGATTATTAGATCTCTTGGTGATGGTATGCTTCTTAAAGGGGTGGCAGTGATATCCGTGACTGTTTCTTATTCATACATCATATTTGTGTCATTGTTCTGAAGAGAGCAAGCAAGGGAAAGCGTAGGAGGTTGGAATTGGATCAAAATGACGTATGGACGCGATTACGTCCTTCAAAAATGAAGTTCACCTGGCATTGTGTTGCTATGACATTTGGCTTCTATATCCATGTCTAGTAATTGTCATCCTCCAAATTATATGAATAAGTCTATTACAAAATTGGAGATAAAAATTTTCTTTCATATATTTGAAAAGAAGAGATATCACATTAGTTTGTTACTAATATGTTTTTTAGTAATAGTTGGGGCCTTGGGGGGCACACGTGGAAGCATAGTTTTATTCTTAACAACCATTATCTGTTTTCTAAGCTTAGAATTGAGTGAATAGAATGGTTATTCTTAGAAAGAAATTATCATATTGAAAATGCAACAACTCTAACTTTTAATCAATATTTAATGGCAACTTATTGATCCAACTTTATGAGTTGGTTGGCTGTGGACCATGCTCAACCATTAACAGACAAAACGAGCTCAATTACAATTTAAGCTTATGTAATCAATGTGGCAAATTTATCTACGTGCTTTTTCTTCACCTCAGTTGGTGTGCATTGCAGTTTATAGTGATAAGAGTACAGTCAATGAGATTTTTTTTAAATTGATGTCAAAGTGAATCTTATCTTCATAAGGGTTTCCATAAACGAGCAGGGAAAAGCAGTGTAGTAGCACAATAAGTATAGGAGAAAATATGTACAATTCATTCAATTAGAGCAATATGGTGCTGATGGCCTGATGCATAAATGTACAAGTATAGTCCCGTGTACAGAGATCTCAACTGTGATTAAAACCACTTGCATGTTATTAGTCAATGGATCCTTGAGAAGGTCTATAATAGTTGTTTACTTCTCAGAAACTACTTCCTAGATCTACTATAAGGTCTATACTTGTAGCACTTAATTGATCTCCTTTGTTAGATCTACTATAAGAGTATAAAGATAAGTCCCTGTGCGTTTCTGTATTATATTCCTTTCAGGATAATTTGGTTTGCACACTCTAAGTCTGAAGCTTTACTTTAAGTTGCTCTACTTTCTACAGCAGAGAATTACTTTTTCTGTTTTGAGGGCATAACACCTCATATGCCACAGAAATGGCATAAATCCTCCTGCACTTTTTTGCTTCAACTAACTTGACACATGTTATGATCAAAATCTACCTGTTCTTGATGATCAATAACCAACTTAAATAGGATTAGCGGGTCAGTTAATTGTAGTTGGGTGTTGGATAATTCAAGAGGTTACCATTTCGTGGACTAATACCAATTTGAGGGATCCTTATTTCTTAAAGCAATGACATGTAGTGAATAACCTATAAGAATCTATGCACCACTTGTGAACTACAATCGTCGTATGAAGCTTAATTCCATTTTCACGTGCTTCTGAAACATGGTTATGGTTTTATCACTTAACATAGAACACTAAGTGTAACCAGAAATATGGAGACTGCTATTGCTTGTATGTCTTGGTGGTCTTGCAGTTTAACTAAGCAAGCTATTAGTTTCTGTGATCTGTAGCTATTTTTCGGTTTGACTTTATTATTATTTTAAGTACAACCAGAACTCCAAATGCTGATATTTTCACTATATCTCGTGTCATTGCTTAACAGGGACCTCAGTATGTGTGCACAAGCTTTTGGACGTTTGTTTGCACAACTTGCAGTGGCATACAGTAAGTGCCCATTCATCATAGTTGAAAATGAAGTGCATCTAGTAGAGGATGAAATATTTTGTTAGAAATGTTTTTTTAAAATGACTCCAGACTTGATTCATGCTTGTGCCTTAAAACATACATTTGAATTTTCTACAGTCGCGAGTTCACTCACAGGGTAAAATCAGTGTCAATGGCCAAGTTTACATCACAAGAAGTTAGTGCCCTTCAAGGAGGGGGAAATGCGGTATATTGTTGCGTAAATGCTCATATGAATATAATACTAACTTACTGGTGGCTGTAACATACATAAGTCTGCCAAGTTTGATGCCTTATAATTGCAATGACAGAGTGCCAAGGAAATTTATTTTAAAGAATGGGATGCCCAACGCCAATCCTTCCCTGACAGCAGGTCTGTGATCATGAATGTACCGCAATGTTTTACTTTCTGATAGAAACTGCAATCCTGAAATTCTTCATGCTGTCAGTAATGTTGAGAGACTTCGTGACTTCATCAAGCACGTCTATGTGGATAGAAGATACTCTGGTGAGAGAACCTCTGAAAAGCCTCCAAGAGCAAAAATGGTATGCCCACCTAACCTTCTTAACAACAGCAATCATTAATACATACTGTGAAAATGTAGAGTAGAATTCAAATAGGCTTGCCTCTATTACCCGCTTTTGGAAGCTGTAACTATGATGATTCCCTACAAAGAGATTTACTTATTTCTTCTTATGTTTCCTGATTTGGGATGAAATGACGTATTAAATAGGGGGAAGCAGAAGACACGTATCAAGGAGGTTCTAGAAGCCCACCCTATGAGAATGAGCGTCGTTACAGTGATAGGCCTAGTCCTGGTGGAAGAAGTGACGGAAGTTCCAGAAATAGCTATGATGAGAGACGCAGTCCAGGGTATGACCAAGATTTCAGGAAAAGTCCTGCCCGCACAGATATTGTTAATGACTGGCGACGAGAAGATAGATTTGGGAATGGAAGGAGATCTGAAGATGGGAAAATTTCTGATGGAGGTTCCAAGGTTGGAGGTAGGTCTCCTGATAGCCAAAGAGATCCAGAAATGTCTAGCCCTCCTATAGTTAGACCTGTTAGGGATATACTAGGAGAGAGTGTCTCTCCTCTTCGGGTTATAGAACCTCCAAGAGCCAGTGGTTCGAGGCCAGCAGATGGTTCGCTGCAAACGCAGGTAAGCATCTTTATTCATCATGTTTTAATGCTACATTTGCAATGTTTTGGTGTATACTTATGTTATAGCTCCTGGGCTTGGTCGAAACTTATAGCATCCACAGTAGAGGTTCTTACAAGAACCTCTTCTTTCTACTTTTTCCAGCCACACCTGCAGAACCAACACAAAATAAACCCCCCAATAAAACTCCATAATAGAGGTTCTTATAAGAACCTCAGCTTTCCACTTTATTTATGAATAACCATATAACTTTATTTGCTTATTTACTTATAGATAATTAAATAAATATAATATATATATATATATATATGTATGTATGTATTTAAAAAATCAAATTATTAAAGGAAAATTCAAAATATAATTATTAAGTTGTAATTTTTCATATTAAATTTCTGTATAATTAATTTTTATATTTAATAACATATAAAAAAAATAAACACAGTTTTATAGATTTGTGAAAACAAAATACTATAAATTGGTAAAAACCAATGGCAGTACAAGAATCAAGACAAGAACCTGTGTTCTTATTTGAGCATGTCGGTTTTTATAAGAACCTGCGACTGGTCAGTGGCCGCTGTAACAACCGAAAAACCTTTTACCCAAAACCGATAAGGTATAAGTCTACAATACGATAAGATCTCAAGAGTTGCAGCGAAGAAAATAAGTCTACTGCTGAGTTCTATTACAATAATAAAGATAAGATTCTTAGGCGACTAACTGACTATCTAATCTAGAAAAAGATGCCATCACTTCGGACATCTGGTATTCTGGTTCACACTTTCCCTTTGCCCTTGCTAGAGCTCTCAACGTGGTATTTCCCTGGAAAGGTTTTCAGTTTTATAAAGATTGAGGGTTAGACCAAAGGTCCAGTGAGTTCCCTCCATCACATGAAAATATGATAATTAAATTGTCATAAACTTTAGATTAAAACAATTACGCTTACACTTCAAATAAGTAAAACACCAACACTCATTAGAATGGTTGATACCACTTTTTTGTCACTCACATTTGTGACTAAGCAATTAGGCTCACACTTGCCCTTTTAATAAGCTACATGAAGCGAATTCATGCACTTCATTCGGGTACACACTTCCCGTAATTGAAATATAATGTACACACCCATGCTAATAACTCACACTATGCAATTTAGCAATTTCATGTTTGAAACAAGCACACTATGATAATTTAGTTCAAATACATATTCAACATAATGGTAAGTATGCTCTTGATTGAAAACAACAAAAGAAAACTCACCTGAAGTCCCAGGCTCCCAGCTTACATGCACACTTTCGTTCTAGAATTACTCCAAACCGAACACCTGAATTGAGGTTGCCAAATGATGAGTTAATAACCCCAAAGGACCTCTAGGAGACTAACTTGCAAACCCTTCAAAGAAGGACCCAAGCTAAAATCCCTAACTAGACTTAAAACAAAAATTGAAAATAGGCAAACAGGGGGAATGCGGGTTCCATGCGACCCAACCCGCATTTGGGTTGCATTCCCCACTGTTTTACCAGCACAATTTTTCACTTGGTGAAGAAGAACCCCAAATGCAACACTTATCATGATTCCTTCACTTTTAGGGATTAAAACTCACCCCAAACTCATATAAATGACCCCCACACACTAATTAATCCAATCCAATCATGAAATCCATGGATTACATCAATTCATGATTGCAACATAAGCATCCATGGGGTTTTTGACTAAATCTTATTCCAAATCAACAAAAAAATTACTTATAGCATGATATTCTCATTAGAAATCCTATTCTCAACAACATACACATTACTAACAATCATTATCCCCAAGATCTACCACTTTTAAGAACCCTAACTTCCACAATAATAACAATAAAGATGAGGAAATGCAAGGGAGATGATGTTCATACCTGAAATTAAGCTTTTCCTCTTGATTTCCTTCAAAATCCTCCTTGATTCCTTCTCTTCTCTTCTCCCGTCTGACATCGCACCCTCAAAAGCACACACAAACAATTTCCATCTGATTTCTAGAATGAGAGAAGAATGAAGTCTCAACTCCCTTTTATTGACTATTTATCCCCTTAGTCCCTGAAATTGAGTCTACTAATCAAAGTTCACCCACAACATTTATTAACTTGAAAAAAAAGAACTTGGGTTATTACAGCCGCAGTCAATAACTTGTGGCCACAGTAGAGGTTCTTGTTAGAATCTCAATAGGAACCTCTATTGTGGATGCTGTTATGAGGCAAAAACATGCTTTTAGAAGTGGTTTGGGGACATTTACCAATCATCATGTTCTTTTGAGTTGTAAACGGTTAAGTGCTTGTGAAGCAAGTGTAGAAGAAGCTGTTCATGCTATGTGGAACTTCTCTTGCCCTTAAATGCAATTGCAGTCATTGTTGGATGCTTGGCTATTAATTTAACTGTTAGTTGTTTACAGGTTCGTGGTAGTTTACGTCTTCCAACTTAATTGAATCATAAGCTGAAACTATTTCTGGTTGCAGAGAACTGTATCTTCCAGTAGCTTAGCATCTTCTAATGGGAATCCAACTGAACTTAGAACAGAAAGTTCGTTAATTGATTTTGATGCTGCTGATCCTGAACCTCCTTCAACGGCACCACTGCCACAAACACAACAAAATGCGCCTTCTCCTGCTTCATTCATGGCTCAGCCAACAATATCATCAAATACTAATTGGGCCAACTTTGATTCAGCTCCAGTGGTAAAAGCTTCTCAACCTCCTTCAAGTGCCAACTTGCTTGACGTACTTTCGGAGTTGTCAGTTCCTTCATCATTACCCGGTGGTCTTGGTGCTCCAGTAACTGCACCTGGAACTTCGTTGCTTCCATCTGGTAACAATCCACTAATTGCAAGTGTACAAATGTCACCTTTTGGTACACCTGCTCCTGCTGTTACACCAGCATCGACATTTATCCCTGGAAGTGGTTCAGCAGGACCATCATTTAATGCCTTTCCCAACTCGGCTGATGGAGGGCACTGGCAAAATATGCATCCTCAACAAAATTTTCTCCCTGCTACTGTTATCCAGCCTCCTACGTCATTTAACCAGGCTGTTGGTGGATCTTCGAAAAATCAGGTTTGGGAAGTATATATTAGATATATATATATATATATATATGTGTGTGTGTGTGTGTGTGTATATATATACGGCAAATACCTACACACATTGAACCCTTGACCTCCTTGGAGGCTCTGCTCTACTGGTAACCTGGGTACCATTGGGCCAATGACCCTTTGGTTTAAGCGAGTTTTCTTTAGTGAACAATTTCTTTTTATCATGATTTATTCCACAGCCTTTTAACCATCTTGTTCTATGTACAACTTTATGCAGCCATGGAATTCTTCTCTTACTGGAAACATCCAAGTGCCTTCTAGTGCTCCAAGTGCAGATTCGCAAGTTACATCCAGCATTGAGGCGAAACCTGCTTCTAAACAAGAACTACCTGCGGTAATGGCAAATATTTTTGTTGGCCGCATCTTGCGTTTGTATATCTGCTGTATGCATGTGTTTTTTTTCTTCATTTCTGATGAATTCTATTTTGTATGCAGGATTTATTTACTTCAAGCTATTCACCCTTTGCTGCTCAAGGTCCAGGCTGGTACCCTGCTCCACAATTTGGGATGGGATATAACATGCAATACAATATGCCAACGGTATGATGCAACCAACCACGATAACATCAGTGGGGCACAAAATAATTAGCATAATGTAAAATAAATAAAAAATAATTATAAAAGTATGGTTTCTTTGGAAATTACAAAATAAAGTGGCTTTTTGCAACATGAGTTTTTCCTTATATCTTCCTCTCTGCTGCTGTTAGCAAAAAATCGTAAGAGAGACAAAGGATTTGAACTTGTGACCTCTAATGCCACATACAATGATGCTACCAGTAGGCTGCAACAATTTTTTTTGTTAAATTGAAGGAACAAATAAGACTCCTAAAAGGTTTCCACTGTGTCTGCATGGTTGAGCGGGTGCACGTGCACCCTCTCCAGTCTTCTTAAATCCGGCCCGCTAACATCAATTCCTCTGATTCTGTTTCTCATATGTTCTCATATTTGAGATGTTACTAAATTGACGCTGGCTGTTATTGTAGCAACCCATGCCGCCAGCTTTTGTGCAGCCATCAAAATCATCAAATCCATTTGATGCCAATGAATCACCTGCAGTTCAAGCTTCAACAGTAAGCATATGAGTTATAGTTGTTTATTTTTGTTTCTTAATGATAAAATATTTAATTTGATTATTTATTCGCACAATGTGATTTTTATTTGTTAGCTGCATCACACATTGATTGAATGGTGATCTGGGTGGAAGAATGAAATTAAGTAAAATTATAATGAATCTATTCTTTTGCGAGGAAACTTAACTGATCAATACATTTCTTAATTCCTATGAATAATGCTTAAATATGTATTTCTCACCTTGGTTTCTTCCTTCTTGGTCAGAAGCATACCGAAGTGTCAAAAAATACTAAGGATTACAATGTTTCTCGTTTGCAACCAGTTACTATTCTGAATCGTTAAGAAAAGTGGAAGATTAGAAGTAAGGAATACAATCACAAATTGGTTTATTGCTAGGTAACTTCAAATGCAGGCAATTATGCCTAATCAATCAGCATAATACCTAGCTATTACTTCTAATATTTGTTTATTTGGTCAATGACATTTCAATGCATTTTTGTCCATCAGGGTCTAGTTGATTTTGATTTCACACACATACATGACAGTCTTAGATAAATCTGAAGACATGATATTTGATAGGAGTTCCTGGAGATACAATCCTGCAATGGCGTAACCAAGAATTTTGGTGAATTGTGGGGGGGGGATTTAGGTAACATCATAGAAAATATAAAAAAAATTAAAAATTAATATAAAAGTATAGAAGTAAGAAACAACATAACATCCTTTAAAGGAAATGGATTTGGATTTGGACTAATATCTAATTTGGGGCCGGACATTTTTTTTTTGGGGGGGGGGGGATAAGGTTAATACATAATAAAAAAATTATGTCATATTTTTTTTTGAAAACTCATGGGGGCAGATGACCCCCTCTCTTCAATGTAGATCCGCCACGGAGGACTAGGGTAGTAGACTGTGTCATGGATTTAATTAAAATCTCATTTAAGGTTATATACCTAAAAATCTCTAGTAGACTTGGCTGTTAGGGACATGGAGCTAGTGTGGATAGGAAGAATGGAGCTAGAGATGTAGAGGCCGGGAAAGGGGGAGGGTTAGGGAGCTGATTATATGGAGGTATGTGTGTTTCCTTACTTTTTATATGTTTCATTGTGCCTATTTCTTTTTTCCTTTTTATGTTCCTGGCCTTGGTTATTTTTCCTTTTCGTTCACACTTTTGCACAAACTGGGCATCTTACGAAAACATTCGCTCTACCCTTTGGGTAGAGGACATGTTTGCCGACATCCCACCCCTTGACCCTGCTTTCTAGTAGATGGTTACACAAAATGAAAACGAAGAAGAAATTCAAGTCTGATTTGAGTAGGCTAAAAATGGCAACTGTTGACCAGATATTACTGAAAGTAACGGAATAAAACTCAGAAGGGTTCTCACCATTCTCAGTTTCTCACTATAACAATTATTCTCACATGATCTCTCGTCAATGATCCAATGTGTTCATGTTTTGTGACGGTTATTGCTTAGAAGTAGTGGTGAACTCGTGACGTGGTTAACACTTTTTTTTGTTTTGTAGTTCCCTTCAATGGCGGCGTTGCAAGGTGCTTTACCAAATATGGGACCTCCATCGGGTCATATACAGCAGCAGGCTACCCCTTCACCAATGTGGATGCCCCCTCAATCTTCTCATCCTTTAGCAATGCCGTCTCAGGGCCTGCCATCATATCCATCATCAATGCCTTCTGGTACGGTCTTGTTCTCTAATCTCTCCGTCCTATAATAAATGTCCAAGGGCTTGTTTGTTAGCAACTTAATGTGATTAATAGGACTCGCAGCATATTTGGTCAACTACATGGCTGTTTGGTAGTGACTTAATGATACAGAAAGTGACTTAGGGACTATTTGGTTGGTTTTCCATTAAGTCCTGTATGGTTAAAGTTATCTGTGTGGATTAATTTGTCTGTACAGATTGAGAAGGTTTTTGTTCAGGAGGGTTTTTTCATAGATGGAAAGAACCAAGCTTTTTTAATTGGGTGGGTCATGTTTGTAAAAAAAACTTGGCTCTTTACATAAAGCTCCCCTAGAAGCTTACTGATAAGCCATTTTCTATATCATGAAGCCACTATCAAACAGTCATGTTTAGCTGACGGAATAAGCTGTGAGTCCCACTAAGTTTATTAAGTTGCTAAGAAACAAGCCCTTATTTAGTAAGCTTCTAGGAGGGAGCTTTATGCAGAAAGCCAAGTTTTTTTTTCTTAACATGCTCCTCACAATTAAAGAACACACACTTTCCATCTATAAGAAGCCCTTCCAAACAAAAATCTTCACCAATCCACACAGATAGATTAATCCTCAGGACTAGTGGAACTCTTCAATTAGGATTGATCTGAGGGTGGAGATCCCTTCTTACATTTCTCACCATAACTTCTATTCTCACCGGAACCCAACCCGTTTTAGAAATGTGTATTATTACTCTTAATCAACTAACTACTCCCTATTTCCCAAAATAAATATCCACAATGAAAAGACACGATGTTAGGAATGTGTAAAATTTACATTTTTAATTAACTAAATAACAATTTTACCCTTAATGTAGATGGACTTTTGAATTTCTCTGTCTCATAATCAAGGGTAAGATTGGAAAGTAAGCATTTTTAAATGTGGAGAATCGTTTTGGGTTAAATTAAAATAGAAACATGGACACATATTTTGGTATGGAGGGAGCAACAGTTTACCTTTAAAAATAGAGGGGGCTAATGAATTTATCCATCTCACAAGTAGCGTAGAACTGGAAAGTAGACACTTTTAGAAATGAACATTTATTTTGAGACAAACTAAAATAGATAGGCCGACACTTGAATCTCACATTCCATAAGCCTGAATCATATTATCACCTATTATACTCATTGTTCGATATGTGTTATATCGTGCCAGGTCCATTCATGGGGCAAGTACCTCCGAACATCCCACCTCAACCCAGGTAAATTTTTCCGCACATTTATCTCATACTGCCTCCAGAAAAAAAAAATACATAATTGCAACTTTTAAAGATATACATGTTTTTTTCCCTCAAAATAATACCCCCTTTGTCCCAAAATAAGCGTCCATATTTCTTTTGTAGTCTGTCTGAAAATAAGTGTCCATATTTCTTTTGTAGTCTGTCTGAAAATAAGTGTCCATATTTCTATTGTAGTTTGTTTGAAAATAAGTGTCCTTTCAAAAGTAAATATTTACTCTCCCATTCTACCCTTGATTACAAGATGGAGAAATTTCTATCTGTTGTTAAGGGTAAAATCGTCTTTTGGTTAATTAAATAGTATAATAGTTACGTATTTTTAAAACTGTATGCCATTTTTATTGTGGACATTTGTTTTGAGCTGGAGGGAGTAAACTAATCTTTGATCACTATTCTTTTAAATTTATTTGGCAACATAAGCTAGCTTTATATTTTGAGCTCATAGGTTTGTTTGGTGAAGAGCTATAATCTACTTTTTAATAAAGCTACTTTGAACATCGTTTGATTAAGCTCTAAGAGCTTTTTTCTCACACACATATATACGTAGGACAAGTTCAATTGCAAACTTAAGTTCTTATGTGAACCGGGGGACAAAGGAGAGCATGCCGTGTCCTGGACATGCATAGAATATTCATCATAAATGGTGTATCGTTCATTCTGAATGTTGTAAAAGTTCATGTTCATTGTCCATGATGAATGGGAAAATACAGGGACACGTGTCACACAATCTTTTGTCCCCCAGTTCACAACGAAAATACCATAGCAACTTGTTTGCCAACCGTATGCCCATTGGTCTTATTTTCCACCCAAAAATTGACACTTTTGACTGATTTGCCCTTAACTAGCATCATTACATCGTATGATTTTACAACGATCAACTCGTCAAAACCCTTTTTTTGCCAATACACTGCTACAATGCCAAAAAAAATACTTTTCATAACGGAATCGTTACTCAATAGTATAGAGGAGTGATTACCGGTAGATTTTTCTCACGGAAAAGCAGAAAAACTAACTGCATTTGGTTTGCAGTTTTGGATACGATGCGACATCTTTTGGTTCCTTGAACACCAGCAGCAATCAACAGCAAAGTGGATTGTTTGGAGCACCAAACACCTTCTCTTCTTCCAACCCATTTGGGTGAATCAGATAGCAAGAACCTTGCAATAGTTAAAGTATATATACATATATGCATCATTAATTGGGTTTGGGGGGAAAAATCCGTTGGTCAGTCGGTTTGTTGTAGATGATGATGATGATGTTTGTCGACGATCGAATGTAGGTGTGGTTTTTTGGGGGGTTGTTTATGTAACAACCAGTGGCTATGTTGTAAGAAGGTTAAAAAAATGGAGGTTGGGGAGGGAGAAGGATGTTTTTGTTGTTTTTGGTGAGATTTTGTTTGCTTTTTTTTTTCTTCTTCTTCTACTCATAAAATTGTATTATTATTGTTGTTATTAGACTTTGATTTTCTTTTAATTGTTTGTTATCTTTTAAATGGAAAGATGTGTATTTTGATATTTTGAATTATTTGGTGTTTTAGTTTGTAGTAATGTGATGTAAGTTAGGGTTTTAGAAAATGGTGAATAAGAAGAGTTGGTTGTTTTTGTTTTATGATTGTTGAAATTTGAATGATGATAAATCTGGTTTGTGTGTTATATATGTGAAGATTTTTATAAGGGCTGTTTAATTTTGTTTTCATTATGTTTTATATGGGTTAAGTTGTTTGGTTGGATAAATTTAGATGTTTTAAGGGATGAGAGATTAATGGGTTTGATGGAGACAAACGGAGGGGGTTCGATTAGATTATTTGAGGACACTTTTGGTATTAATTTGTTTGAGGTGTTTTAGGGGGTGTTTGACAATTGCTTAATGGTTTGGGGTAAAATGATTAAGTGGTCAGAATGATTAAGTGGTTTTCATGATATAGTGCAAAATGAAATATAATTGTTTGGTAATTGTATACAATGAAATTAGGGCTCTTAATGGTTAAGAGAGATTCAAGATACAAAATCATTAAGAGGGTTTTAAAACCATTAAGAGACAATTTTTTTTTTTTTTGCCAAACAAGATTCAGCTCTTAACGATTCAAAGATTGCCTCTTAATGAAGATAAGTGGAGAGTCCTGACTTATTTTATGTAACTATTTTTGTCTTAACGGCTTAACGATTAAGCTTGTAACTTGTATGACAGTGAATAGGCAAAGAATGAGAGTCAATGTGAGAAGAGTACAAGAGATCTATACCCTTGATCACCTTTAATCTCAAACCCAACCATGAATTGTGTTTGATACGGATCAATAAAATTGATTTGATACATCTCATCCTAATATGCATCTAAGGATGAAGATTTCTTCTTACCGGGACCCAAACCCTGAGTGAATAAGCTGCCTATACCATAAGTATTCACATTGATTTAGCTATCATCTCAATTGATCAAGAAAAGTTGATTTTTGTTTGTATTGTCGTTTCAAATACGAGTAGAAAACTCTTCAAAATGATTACTTAGGAAAGAGAAATGATTTACCATGAATACTACCAAATATTTAGAAGAAGAAAAAAACATCTTATAAATCATATTAAATAATTTAATAATATAATTGATATGTAATCTCCGAAATAAAGCAATTCTTTGAGATGAACATAATTTTTTTCTTGAAAATGTTTGAATTTTAATTATCCATTTAAAAAAATCCGTTAAAGATTTTCTTACGTATTATTTCAACATTCATCCTACAAATTTCTTCTCAAACGTCTCATCATCAACTTTCCATATGAAAAGCTCTGAATTTATAAATAAAATATTCAAATGATAATACTCCTATGAATACTAGATATAATTATGTATTGTTGGTCGAAAAAGGTTTCACTTTCAAATGTCACACGAAATGGCTCCCTTTTCTTTGTGTCAAATGAGAAGTTAACAACAATATTTTTTGGTCGCCTTTTCAATTTGCAAAGGACAATGATGGCCAAGGTTTATAGCTTTTCTTTTCCATCATCTTCTCAATAGTTTAAGAACTACTTTTCATTCCAAAACAACGTCCTTGTCAAAATGAACCACTACTTACAATGAAATACATGTTTTAGATGTTTATACAAAACTAGAAGGGTACTCGTATAATACGGCGAGATATATATCGATTTTAATGTTTCATTTTAATTTTTTGGTCTCTGTCGATTTTATAATAAAGTTTTATGTAATTTTGAGCAAACATTAATGTTTTTTGTAATAAAATACAAATTTGAAGATATCATTAAAATTAAAAAAGTTCTCATTTTTCTTTGTAATATCTTTAATTCAAAATTTTATTATAATTTAATTTAGATTTAATAACGAAGTAATTTATTTTTGGTTTAATAATATAATTTTTTTATAAAGATAATAACTGTTAGAACTCAATAATTATCTTAATTATATTTTACATTTTATATTTAAAATAAGAAGTTTATCTTGTATTTAGTTATATTTATCTACAACTAGTTATACGAATTTAAACATGAAGCTTAATAAGTTGTACTTACGCACAATTTACTTGTAATCTTGAATTTTATAAGTAATATATAATAAAAAAGTTTCCTCATCAATATATAATACTTTGTATTCGTAATTATATAAAGCAAAAAACATTACAATAATCTTACAACCATAAAACCAGAAATTCATATATATATATATATATATATAATGTATATATATATGGTATATATATATACTCCTGAGGGTCATGGTCGTTGCACTTCCTTTTCCCTCTGGTCCATATGCAACAACATATACATATACATATACATATACATATACATATACATATACATATACATATTGTATAAGAAACAAACAATAGTTGATTTCTTTTATCTGTGGTTGAGTATATATTTACAATGGCAATACCATTACCAGCCTCCTCCATTCTTAATTTTATGTAAAATTTTGGTGCAGAACTGACACACACACACACATATGTATGTATATGTATAAATATGCTTCATTTGGTGGTGGTGGTGGTGGTGGAGATGGAGCACAAAGTTTGATCATGCGGGTTGTTCAACTTGTCTGTTTTTCCACACCATTGGCGCTATTAGCATCCACACTACAATTAAACCAACCAACCAAAGGAATTATGGGAGCTCCAAATTTGTTCCTAAAAACCATATATATAAATATATAGACTTAGAATCATGTGAGACAAAACTGTTTTCGTAAGACACGATTTTCACAATTGAAACTTGCACAGTTTTGCTGTGAAGATTCGGTTTTTTTTTTACCTTCATAACATTTTGTTATGAAATTTCAAGTTAAAAAATCATGTCTCATATGTTTCATGAAAACAACCTTGTCTCACGTAAATCCAACCTTATATATATATATATATATAATATTAATAAATCATTTGTATTATATAAGTGTTAATTAAAAATGATTTTAGTGACTGATGATTTTAGTGTGTAATAATATTTTATTTGTTGAAAACATTTGTTTTATAATAATCAATTAATAAAAAGATAATATAATTATATTTATATTTATAATTTGTTTTTTTATAAATTATTTGTAAGAAATGGAATTCAGTTCCATTCGAAATCCTACAAAACAAACACACCAAAGATTCCAAATCCTTCCACAAAATCCAAATCCTTCAAAACCATTACATCAAACCAAACTCCATTAAGAGAAATTTGATATGTTTTTTGAAAGTATATAATATTTATATACCATAAATACTTACACACACTCTTCATTTTTGGTGAGATTTGAACCCTCTGATATGTTTTTATATGGTATATTTTAACACCTTTCTGATGATAGCTGATTTATTTGAACTTTTTAAAAATTGAATGATCTCCTTAAGCATTTTCTAATGTTTTGTTGGAGGAAGAGAAGAAGAGAGTGTTTAAGTATTATAAAGTATTATAAAATACAGTCCCCTTCTTTTACAAACCATGAATCTGGTACAAACTTATAGATACTCTTTTATATATTGTTTCATATAAATACGTTATATGAAACAATACGTATGAAAATACAATGTTTATTAGTGTTGTTTCATATATGAAACGTTCACGATTATTTTATTCCACACGTAAAATAATCGTAATGTTTCATATACGAAATAACCCTGTGCATATACTGTATTTTCATACATGTTATTTCATATACTAAAAGAACCGATTTATACTAAAATCTTGGTTTGTAAACGAGTGGGACTGGGAGTATGAGATAGAATGATGAGAGTAGAATATATATATATATATATATATATATACACACACACACACACTTACAGTAAACACAAACTGCAAGCCACTCGTTCACTATTCTGACCCAAGTACTCGTCCAACCAACATCAATACTCCACCTGCATAAAGGGCAATTAGGTAATTTTACAAAAAATAGAAGAATCAGAAATTATAGTAAATGGATCAAAATAGTCAAACTTCCCAACCAAATTCATTTTTCAAAACCATTTTTAATCATATTCCCATTTCAGCCAGAGTTTATGTAATTACATAAAGACAAATTGAATGAAAAAATAACGTATTTTAACTTGATTATTATTTCAGGTAAAGTACTCCCAAAACTTCCATTTTGGTACCTAAGATGTAAAATTTTAAACACTTAAGTACCCGGATATCTTAATCTAAAATTAGTTTTTATGTATTGTGGTTTATTAAAAGAAAGAGTAATGCTTCAACCGGTTACTCAAGTATTTAAATATTTAAAATTTTACATCTTAGGTACCAAAATAAAAGTTTCAAAAAATACGTTACCTAAAATAACAATCAAGTTAAAAATACGTTACTTTTATCATTCAATTTACCCTTTATATAAAGCTTAATTTTCAAATTTTAAAAAAGAAAAAGAAAATCTTTACATGCAAATTTGCTTAAAAGTTTCCCACTTGCGTAGAGAATTTTTTTTCTTTTCATTCTAAAATCTGAAAATAAGCTTTTACGTAAATACGTAACATACTTACGTAAATTTTGGCTAAATTGGGATTTCGATCTCAAACGTTATTAAAAGAAGATTTAATTGAGAAGATTAACTATTTTGGTCAATTTTAAAAGACGATAATTATAAGCTTACTTTTTCATGGGGTGGTGATAATTCCAGCCAGTCAACAACATTGCAAAGTACATGGCTCCAGTAGCGAAAACAAGATGGAAGAATCCAAAGCCATATGGCACGTCGTTTTCATCCTGTGTCTCTTCCTTTTTGAACTGTAACAAATTTATGCTTTTATGAATGGATAACAAAAACTAAATGTATATTTAAAAAAAAATGCAAAAATGATAAGAATGTAAGTATAAATGATTCATATGTGAATATTGGTAAAATCAGAAAAATATCCATTTCAAAATGTATATGTGATAGGGACGGACCCAATATTTTTTTTCAAATAATACACCATTTGACTATAAGAAACAAATATATGATATTTTCCACAAGATTATCATTGGTTAATGTGAGGTCATGTATTCAAGTTTCTTACTGAACTTTTTTTTTCTCTCCAGAAAACATAATAAATTTGAAATTAAAATCTAAAAACTAAGAAAATGACAATAATGGGATTCAGACGCGGGTTTGCGGTGGAAGGAAAACCTTGCAAACCAACTTTACCAAGGGAAACATGTGTCCTCATTGTAGTTTTAAAATATTTACGATGGTACACAACAAATTGATACGATGACACTTTTCTCGACCCTATAATTTTTCATACTACGGAGGAGCAACGAAACGGTAGCACATGTCACCACAAAAACTTCTTGGGTCTATCCCTGATATGTGAACCCACGTTTGGTTAATTACTTACCTTTTTACCAATTATTTACACATGAAGATGCATTTGTAAACTCACATGCCTTTTAACCAATGATTCACATATGAATAATTTATTCTTACATTCTTACTTATCTAAATATTCTCCTTATGATATAATATGTGAATGTTTTAATGTTTACGTAACCTTCAACTGCATAGTTGAAGGTTACAATATATTGTGTTAAAAATTGTAATATTCACACAATTTAAAAAGTAATTTCACGGATCTTATGAAAAACATTTACAAGATGTTTGTTGAATGAAGAGGTATTACCTGAAAGCATTTAGAATCAATTCCTGTTGAAAATGTTGCAATAACAATTGCAAGTACAGCAACAACAAAGCTCTGTTAACAAGAAGAGTAATGGAAAAAGGTTAATAGTTTCATCTGGAGACTCAATTGAATTATTTTATGGGCAAATTGTAATATGAAGTTTTAGTGTAACAAACATTTGTTTATTTCGATTTCATACCCAATTTATTTGGTAAATTATTTTTTAGCCTATGTTGTATTAGTTGATTTTGATCTCATTCGAGGGTAAAAATAACGTATTTTAACTTAATTCATATTTTGGGTAATGTACTTTCAAATTTTCATTTTGGTACCTAAGATGTAAAGTTTTAAACATTTAAGTATCTGGATAACTGATTGAAGCATTAACCGGTTACCATGCTGATGTGGTATCTAACTCAGTATTATTTGCTATTCAACCCAATTTCATCTCATCAACATGGTAACCGATTAATGCTTCAACTGTTACCGGGGTACTTAAATGTTTAAAACTTTAAATCTTAAGTACCAAAATAGAAGTTTTGAAAGTATGTTACTAAAAATAGGAATCAAGTTAAACTACATTACTTTTTTCTATGTAATTTGCCCTTTCATGAATTAAATATGTATGAAAAATGTGAGGTGAGCTTACTATGATAGATAACCAGTCTCTTGAGGCTTCGGATGACCTGAGACATTTATCATCTGGTGGTTCACTATAGGCACAAAGATAAATGGTCAAGTTTTAAGCAATAACTAAGCTGAAAATTAAGCAAACAATGCAATAGGAAAACCGGTTCCTACCTTCTAATCGCGGACCAGCATAGAAACACGACGTAGAGTCCCATAAAACCAGGAGTCAAGAATCCCGCGCTAATCTGTTTCACAAGTAAAAAAATGAGATTTGTCTAACAATGACGTGATGAAAAAGAACACTTTGATTGTGAGAATACGTGAAAACTCATTAGATTATTTTTCAAAAGATTCCTTATTGAGATCGGGACATGACGGAACAAAATTTCTTGTCCCATTTTGATGCAATATTAAGACCGGGACATAACAAGACTGAATGGGATGAACATGCACTTTTTTGTCTCATTAAAATAGGTGGAAAAAAACCACGGAGATGAGACAAAATTGATAAATTACTAAGCTACTCATGTCAAATTAAAATTGTAAAACATTGCACAACTCTTTCACCCACCTACCCCCTTTAGTCCGTCCCGTCTGCATACCAAACGCACCCTGATGTGTTTGGTACGCCGGATAGGATGGGACAAGAGAAAATAAAAACCCGTCCCACATTTGGCATTGACATTAGACTGGTACAAGACGGGATTGGGTCAAAATACTAATAAAAACCATGGAGACAAGACAAAATTGATAAATTACTAAACTATCCATGTCAAAATTAACACCCTAAAACATTTCATAATAATCTTTCACCCGCCTACCCCACTCTCGCCTCTCTGGTTCTATCCATGTACCTAATGCAACCTTAAGAAGAGAAGAGGGTTTCGATATATATTTAAAAGAAAATGTTCAAGTCTAACAGATACGAGACTCTAATAATGAATATTGAACTTACTTTTGGGTGAAGAGAGACACTAGTCATAAGTTGTAGGAGTACAAGTGTCCATGTGATGAAGAAAATGTTGAGCAGGCAACTTGGTTGTGGTGTGTACCAAATGTACATCAAAATGATCCCCAAAATCGACACGATGTATGCACTTGTTGCAAGCAGCATGGAATGGATGTGGCTGGTGAAAAACAACCGTTAGGATACAAATGCAATCCAAAGCAACCCATTCATAATTAGAAACTTGTTATTTTTAAGTATATATTTTCTTTGTCTCAAAATAAGTGTCTACAATTCTATTCATATTTGTCTTAAAATAAGTGTCTAGTTTCAAAAATAGATAAATAAAAGCATCTCCAACAAATTCTCCAAAATTTCTTCAAAATGAAGAATAGAACTTCAAAATCTCTAAAACAAAAATACATTAAACTGCAAAAAATTCTCCATTCTGGAGAATACAACATTGATTATATTATTAAAATATTTTATTTATCTAATAAAATACTATTTCTCTCTCTAAATATTTAATTTCAAAGTTTTCTGTTGGTGCAAATATATTAAAAAAATATTTCTCTCATTGTAATCATATTTGGACTGTTCTCGAAATTTGGGGATTTTTACACTTCATCTTCTACTTTCTCCATTTTGGAGATTTTTAGAACAAAAAACATGTCCAAAATCTCCATTTTCTTCATCTTGGAGGATCTATTTGACAAATATTTAAGAATTGTGAAGAGAGAATTAATTAAGAGTAAATTTATCATTTGGTTAAATGTGTAATCATTACGCATGTCTAACAAAAAGTTTAGAAACTTACCATCTTGCAGCATATTTTTCTGACAAACAACAATCATTCAGCCATGTAATGAAGCTAATTATACTGATTAGCTGAATTAGCAAAAAGACCCTACATATATCATAAAACAAGATGGTTTAGATGTCATTATAACAAAATCATAGGATGCAAGAAATCTCTTAGTGTCCTAATAGACTGTTTGTTTTATAGGACTTAAGTTTTTAGAACTGAACATATATGTGTCTTATGTAAGAATGTTGTAATAGGTTTATAAGACGTTTTTGGATATCTTAAATAGTTTTTTAGGACACTTTTACAAAATGTCATAAAAAATTATTTAAGACGCCCACAAGTATCCTATAATCTTATTGCAATGCTTTTACATAGGACACGAACCTATAAAAACTTAAAACCTATAAAATAATTTATTATGATTTTTAGAGATTTATGGTGTCCTGTAAACCCGAATTTTGTTGTAGTATGTTTTCATACTTTCCGCTCGAAATCATAAAATGCCAAATGATGCAACAATTGTAAAATATTGATACGTACCCTGCACCGAAATGTGCAACATCCCCTGCCAATAAAAATTGCATTAGATCAAAGACATCTGTGATTTAATTATTTGCAGTGATATGATAGCTGTGTGAAAAAGTGAAGAATATATATATATATATATATATATATATATATATATATATACTAACCATATATCAAAATCATCTCTGTGGGAAGAAAAAATGGCAACACGAGTAGTGCAATCATAAGGAAAACCTTGGCAGACCACCAACCAGAATGCCATAATTCTTTTCTTCCATGCAACTTGGAGGTACCAGCAGTTGAAAGAAACATTGTGAAGTAGAATATCTAATATACACGATTAAGGTAATTTTTCTTAAGGGTATTCAAGGAAATAATATATATATATATATATATATATATATATATACATACATATGTGTGTGTGAGAGAGAGAGAAAATATGTGGAATCCCATTGTATTATTAACCACAAGAGCCATTGAGAAGAGAATGAAGGTTCATCATATATTGAGAAAAATGGTTCAAGTCTAACCGACGCGGAATTCAAACACGCGCTCTCCAGTGGAGACTAGACAGTCACAAATTATGCCCAAAGTGTCACGTCTCTAGCGTAGTAAAATTTTACTTTGATACCATGTGAGAATCTATAAGATCTCATTAGATTACTCTCCAAAAGAGTCTAGAGAGCAGGAGGTTCCAACATATATCGAGAAAAAAATGTTCAAGTCCAACCAATGAGGTACTCCAACATGCCTTCTCCAACAGAGACTAGACGGACAAAGATTGTCCAAAAGTTGAGTCCCTAGATTGATAGACATTTACTTTGATAACATGTGAGAATATATAAAACCTAATAGATTACTCTCTAAAAGAGCTTTTGAGAAAAGAACGGAGGTTCCACCATATACTAAGAAGGAATGGTCAAAGTCTAGAAGGTGTGGAACTCCAACCCACCTTCTCTAATGGAGGCTAGATGGGCACAGGTCATCCCAAATGTCAAATCCCTAGACCGATAGACATTGACTCTGATATCATATGAAAATATCTGAAACCTCAATAGATTACTCTCTAAACGAGTTCGAAGATAAGGGAGGTCCCAACATAAATTGAAGATAAATAATTTAAGTCTAGTCGATATGAGATTCCAACCGTATATGGATATATCCTAACATTGTACTTTATTTTTTTAATATTGCTGCAGATGGCTACAAATGGAGATAAAAGGATACAAAACATCCCATGCTCACCCTCAGAACTCCTTCTGTGCCTAAACAGTCTTTGCCACCTTGGCAACTTTTCAATCCTGCAATAACATGAGACTGTGAGAACACTACTAATATATTTCCAACTGAAAGTAAATAAAATCAATCCAAACCAAATTAAACCCAATATATCCCACTTTTAAAGCAGGGTCAGCGGCTACGATATACACAAATCAAACCTCTACCTCATAAGATAGAGCGGCTGATTCCATAAAGACGGTTACTTAGGCAAAAATGTGTAAACAATAAATCATGATATGGAACAATATTACTCTTCATTTCAGTCAAGGCACTAGGTCCATAGTCGCGAACTGCCCACGCAAGCAAATTTGATAAAAGAAACATCACGCTGTAGACGTATCTAGCCATCCAAGGATTAGATCCATGGCAGAATTGGGTCAACCAAGAACCCTCTAAGAGCTTGGCATATCGATTGCTGATACTGTTTGTTGTGTCCCCCATCCCGTCTTCAAGTTTTGATAGAATCATGATATTGCCTAGTGAAATTACTCCCCCGGCTCCCTTCTCATCTGCAATACGTAAGATTTTTCATCGCAAATTAGTGTATCAAGAGTCGTAAAAACGACAACCTGCAAATTTCAGTGTCTTGGAATGATATGTTGGAGTCCTGCATCTGCTAGACTTGAAATCTTCCCTTCCTCCTCTAGGGCTTTTTTGGAGAGTGATATTGGGGTTCCATATCTTCTATGGTATTAGAGCCAAGATTTGCCACTCTAGGGACCCGACATTCTGACTAGCCCCCTCTTTACACTTTAGGACAATTTGTCCATCTAGCTTCCGTTGGAGGAGGCTTGTTGGAGTCTTACATCGACTAGACTTATACATACATGTTGCCATAGGTGAATCATGTTTCTCCGATGGGGGTGGATTTAAGGAGGGAGGGTGTCCGCTGCCTCTTTATCGTGCGAAGGTAGTGGAATTCTTTTAGGAGTCCAAAAGGATGTATTCATTTTAATTAACACGTGTTCCTTTAAATCTGTTGCAATCTATTGATGGCATTAAAGATTTTTAAAGTTCAAATCCCTTTAGCTCTTTTCTAAATTTTTAGTGAAAGTAACATAAAAGAATGAAAAAGGGGGGAAAAAATATTTTCGGTACTCTTATAAACCACTTGTATGTTATTTTTAATTAAACGTATTTTAAAGGTTGTTTTATTTTATATTATGGTAACTACTTTTTGTCTGATTTAAATGTTATCTAAATGCTCTGGGTAACCGACCACACCTAAAAGACAAAGCTTATCTAGAAGCCTTGTGGGGTTAGCTTAACTAACAATAATACTTAAGTCTTTTGGGATTTTCCTCAAAGGTCATCAGTTTAAATCATGCCAGACCACCGAGATTTTCTTAACTATTCTTCAAGACCTCTAAGATTAGTTGAAGTATGTGCAAGCTGACCAAGGCACCTAGAAAAACAAAACTCAACTAGGATGGAACTATCTTTTTTTTTCTTTTCTAATTTGGGGATTTACTCATATTTTCCTTAATTTTCATTTATCTTCATAATTAAACCATCTAAAGCTAGAAGTAAAGTCTTGAGTATGTTGTAGCTTCAAGTGTATCAGCAAAATACAATTTTCCTTAAAAACTTGTAACGTTATTATAGAATTATTATTTTGGATTTATATTTAAGGCTATGTAGTAGCTAACAATAACTAAGACTAGGAAAAAGAGTAAATTACATATTATGTGGTTTAGTGTTTTTAACAGTTTTTATTCCTTTTTTGAAAATCTAATGCAATGTGTCCCTATGGTTGCGTCTTTTTAACAAGTTAAGTGATTCCAAATTTTTAATGAGTTGGGTCCTTTTAATTTTAGTTTTTTAACAAGTTTGATCCCTGAATAAATCAACAACTTAGGTCCTGGGATTGCATTAAAGACCAAACGCCTTGTTGTAAAAATGTAACCACAGGGACATGATCCGTTGAATTTTTAGAAACAAGACAAAAACTGTTAAAAACATATAACAATAGGGACTAACATGTAATGATGTAATCTACTAAAAGAAATACATTCTTTGCGGAGGTAATTGTGGGTGAAAGCAGCAAAACCTGTAAAAGCAATCACGCATCGGGACAAACCTGTTTTTGAGACTTTTAATTTTCTTTCTAACTTGTGACTTTCCGTAAATAGAAAATGGGTATAATTCTTTATATCCTTCTTTTTGTTCTCGTGACCACAAACCAATACAAGTGTATTGCATACCGTTTCCACCAAGCAATCCTCGATGCCCACGACACTTACGATTGGATCTCTACACTTTTCTAACCTAACTTTAAAGTGCCCTCTCTTTTTAACAGATCAACAAGGAATGTATGACCACATGAAATATCTCTCTACACATAAGACTCTTGTTTATAAATAAAACTAAAACCAACAAACTAAGAATGTGCTTACTTAAATGTTTATCCGGTAAGTGTTTATCAAGTTGTTTTACTTTACTGGTTAAGGGCAACCACACACTCAACAAAAGAAATAATCCATTTACCACTTATTCCTAACAAAACAAACTATTAATCCACTTATTCTTTCTTACTAGTTTTCATTTAATCGCTCATATATATATATATATATATATATATATATATATTAGTGGGAAGTTCATACAAGAAGACTAAATACCTTAAAAGGGTAAGAACGGAAGGTCAATGAAAAATTTGAATCATTGAAAAAATCCATTTGAAAATCCATATGTTAACTCATATAAATAATCTGTAACATGGTTCACATATGCGTATTCAAATAATTTTTTTCCAGATCTTTTCAAAACTTCATATATGCATCTTTTCATAACCTTCATTTTCTATCATCTCAAAATATTAGTTTTTCTTATTTGAACCAACCCTTAAATATGTATCTAGATAAAATTTATCCGTAAAGAATAGATAAATCTTAATTAGAGGTATCATTAGATAGTAAATGACAAATTTGTGTTTGACTTCAAATATGAACCTAACAAAAAATAGTATAAATCTCTCTTTTAATTATTTTATATATTTTATTTTGTCTTTATTTCTATGTTTGGAAAAGAAGATAAAATAAGTTCCGACATAAATATCCATGTTTAATATCAAAGGCATGATTTTTTGACGTGTACGCTGGTATATCCTTTTTCATGTCCACTAATTCAATAAACAAATGAAATTAATAATTCGTGACCATCAAAAAATCAAATATTATACAAAATATTGCATTCCGATCGAACATACTTAATAGGTCTTTAACTTATTCGGTGAACTATACATGATTGTTTAAATAATTTATTCAGTAAGTTTCTAGAATGATCTTTATGAAGAAACTCATGTTTTTTTCAAACATGTCTCTCTCAACTAAATAGCACGCTTGTTCATTTATGAAAAAACTTTTACAAACACGTTCTCAAATATATCATGACTTCATGGATAACCAACCAAACAACCCCTAAATTTTTACTAGTGGTTGGACATTTAACATGTATACAAATTCATAAATAATATCAATAATTATACGTATAAAAATATTTGCATTCTGAACATATAAAATGGAGTTTGTATAACATCACCTACCACATCGCAAAGTAAAAATATTGGTCAGAACTTCGTATAATTTGTTGTATGGTACAACAGTTTGATGCCATTGTATTTGTTCATTCTTTTCGTGTCCTCTGAACCTACCAGATAAGTTAATTATACTTTATGTGCAGTCATCATTTGCACCGTACAAATGGCCGATGCACATGCTTTTTTCACGGCAATGAAGCCGGTGATTTCGATTCTACGACAACGAGAACTCCATAATCAATAAACAGAGCACGATTACCATCTAATAATCATACACATTCATCAACGAATCGAACTGAGAAGACAGTACTCAAATTATTACCAAAAGGAAACCGTCAGAACTAAAAAAAAAACCGACTGAATCCATCGTGTTCGGATCTCAACAAAACCAAATCAAAGTTTGATTCACAGTTTCACACAATCGATCAATCATGTATATATATATACTCATACATTTCATCAATTTGCAATAACTAATTGGAAATTAATCAACATACCTGATGAGAAGCGAGAATGGATTGAAGAACAGCGATTGATGAAGTTTTCTTTCGTAATCCGTCAGAAAAAAACAGTTTTGCAGGTTTTCTTCAGAAACACGAATCGAAGAGAGAGAGAATCCAGCGGTCCACCGGAAGACCACCAACACCAGCTACACAATTCGGGAAGCTTTTTACATAGGAGAGAGAGAAGAAATCATGCTTTTTAAGTTATTTTAATGTGATCTTTTCCCTCTTTTCTCTTTCTGTGTTCAATTCGTATCATACCTCAATACATACAAAGCATGTGTGCATATATATATATATATATAGAGAGAGAGAGAGAGAGAGAGAGAGATTGCTTTAGGAGGAGGAGAGGGTTATGTTTTGGTATTTGCATGCTTGCTTTTCCCGCCTAATGGCCGTTTGATACGTTCTTTTGGTAGAAAAAAAGCGAATTACTCGTTGGTTAAAAAACAAATTGCAGGTTTTGTCTTTTATATACCTTACTACAGATCAGAAACCAGGTTGGTTCCAATCTTTTTGTAAGCTCTGCAGGGGCGGAACACAACCGTTGTAGTCCGGGGGGCCGAAATATAAGAGCATCTTCAATAGATTTTTCAAAATTGAGAAAATGGAGATTTTAGGCATATTTTTGCTACAACAGACTCTCCAAAATTCTCCAAAACGGAGAAAACATGAGAGAGTGTAAACAAAAATTGATTACAATGAGAGAAAACATATCATTTTTTGTCTTTATTTGATCCCAAGAATGGATTGGATCGAAACGACTTT